CTTTGAGATACACATTTTTCTGTTTACATAAAAAGAAACAGACAAGTAAACATCCCGAGCAGATGAAGGAAAAAAAAAAAAAAAAAAAACCAACGTGGACATTAAAGGTCATCTTCACAGATACATTCATTTAAACTTTATTGGGTGTCATTTAAATATGTGGATTTTCAGCCTGTGCACACTTTAAAAGAAGAAAGAGTTGTTTAAAGTTGGGGGTTTGGACGAAAAGATTTTGGACTACCATCAGGTACCTTTGGAGGACATCAATCCTTGCCCACCTCAATATTTCAGGTTACGGGCCAGGACATCACAAACAGACAAACACACACATGCCAGTAGTGTGTACTTGTGCTCCTCTGAAGGACACACTGGTGGAGCCCAGCATGAATATCAGCAGTGTAACCCCGCCGTTCAGCAGGCTACAATCAAATCAGACTCTGTTTTCTTAGCTCCCTGTAAACCTAAACAAGTGATTTTACTGGATTAGATGCTGACCATAATGTTTGGTTTGTCCTAACAAACAAGTGTCATGTAAACTGAGTCGCTGGATCTGAAATAGGGAACTTAGAAGAGATGTTATTAGAGTCTCATGTAAGAGTAGCCTCTGCTAAACAAGCAGGGTTTAACCTCAGCAACCAGCTTGAGTGATGTCTCCACCAGATCTTTTGGTCACCTCCAAAGTAGTGAAGACCTGGATATTTGAGAGAAAACAGTCATGACAGCTGTGGAAAGCACAAATCCAAAGCATTCTGAATACTTTAGAACCATACATTCAGCAGTTCTTTGTAAACTGAATTGAACAAGTCAAATCAAAGGTTGTTATGTGATCCTTTCCAAACAGAAACAAGGGTATTTTGTGGTCAACACTTTCATAAAAACTAGCACAGAATATCAAACAGCTTAATGTGGGACAACTAGTTATAAAATAAATGTGTAATAAAACATCCCTCAGAAGGAACCAGAGCAACTTAATGCATTGTAATTATTACTGTAAGACATTAACAATCAATGAGCCATTTCTAATATAAAAGTAATAAACATGAATGATCCCAATAAAACTGATTTATAATAACGAGGCTAGAACTGCTGCGACACAAAGAGGACTGAACATTGGCAAAACTAGAAAGCTCATGTTTCACATAACCTCAGAACATATTCTGTGTTTTATGGCTGTATTCGGCTGCTTTATTGCATATGGTATTTGTAAAGAATATCAAGAATAGTTTTACTAATAACTTGGATTACCATGACAACCTGCTGCAAAACAGTTCTGGAGGTTAAAAAGTGCTTCTGAGAAAGCAGAGAAGTTCAGAAATAAAAATGTTAAATTTATCAAAAAGGAAAACAAAGTTATTTGTTTTCTTTTTCTAAGTTTCCTTATCTAGAAATATGTGAAATACTATTTATTCAAGCAACCAAACCCACTCAAGTCTGAGCTGAGTGCACAGAAATAAATGATTTAGGAACCTGTTCTGACAGACCCAGCAGTGCAATTTGTTGATCAGATTTTATGTTTTGATGGTAACCTGCATCCTAATTATAACAGTATTCTATATATATTATGACTATTCTTGATGATTTTATTAAAAAAATATTGATACTGTCAACGATTTTACAAACTGCAAGGCATTTCTTTTCATCAGTTCGTACGTTGCTGTAGGGTGTAAACATTTAAAGTGTGGTCAGAGTGTGGGCTTCCTTTCTCTGAGACATATGGAACACTGGTGTTCATAAATTAAACATTATGAAACAGTTTACTGGAAATGTTTTACTTTGCTGTTTTTCCCCAAACCGTACATGTGACATTACACAACTTTGATATCATTACTGTTTTTGGACAGTTTTCTATTTGAGCAGCTACATTTAAATGCCAAGGTTAGAACCACTAATTAAGGAGAGCTTCCTACAGTTTTGTAGTCTGCTAGTTCTTGATCATGTCCCATCACTGAACCATTGTACAAACTACAACTGCATCAGTGCATTTAAGAACTTTAGAAATTTCCATACATCTAACATTTTTTCTATGTGAACAACAAATAACAGTGAACCATCCATCTTCATTTCAGGGTCATAGGGGTCCACACAGCTGCAACTCAAATGTCTAGAGTAGAGCTGGGCGATATGACCCAAATTTTATATCACGGTATTTTCAACAATTACACTGGTTTCATGGTATTTGACTGTATTTTTTTTCCCCTCACAGCTCAGCTGATAATAAAATGTACAAACTTAGCTATGGAG